CGTGAGGTGAGGAGGGGGGAAGGAAAAAGAGCCGAAAAATGTTGCATTGGGTTGCAATTTAAGGGGCCCAATGTGGGGTTCGAACTCGCGACCCTGGGATAATGAGTACCCTTCTATATCGTCAGAGCTAGCCGGGCTAATTACGTTGTCTTTAACATGTTTAGATTTTCATCCATATACAGAAAGAGCTCTTTTTCCTTTCCCCCCCACCTGCAAATTTTTATATTTAAAGTTACTGTTCGCTTCTTCCGATTGTCATGAAAATTGACATGAAGACTAATTAGGCCATGACAAACATATTTGGTCTTCATAATTAACCTTGTAAAACCACTCGTTAGAGCATACATTTCATGTTTGAGTGAGGTGGGGGGGGGAGGAAAAAGAGCCATAGAAAGGGTTCAATTTCCTAATATGGAAGAAATTTGTTGCATCCGGTTGCAATACATGGCGCCCAACGTGGGGCTCGAACCCACGACCCTGGGATTAAGAGTCCCATGCTCTACCGACTGAGCTAGCCGGGTTTGTAAAATTTAAGTCTTTAATTGTTCTACCGCCATTTTCGTCCATATAAAGAAAGAGATTTCAATTTCCTAATATGGAAGAAATTAGTTAAAATTGACGCTTATTTGAGGCGGGGTAAGGAAAAAGCCCTTGGAATATTCGATTGGGGGAAAGGAAAAAAAGTTTTTCGAAGTCTCGATTCCTGAATTTTTATACCGTTATTTTTGTCAAGAAATATTTCAAAATATCCTAATATGGAAGAAAAATGGGCTCTTTTTCCTTTTCCTCCCCATCTGCAACTTTTTATATTTGAAGTTACTGTTCACTTTGTCCGATTGTTATGAAAATTGACATGCAGACTAATTAGGCCATGATAAACAATATTGGTCTTCATAATTAACCTTGTAAAACCACACGTTAGACCATAAAATTCATGTTTGCGTGAGGTGAGGGGGGGGGGAAGGAAAAAGAGCCGAAAAATGTTGCATTGGGTTGCAATTTAAGGGGCCCAATGTGGGGTTCGAACTCGCGACCCTGGGATAATGAGTACCCTTCTATATCGTCAGAGCTAGCCGGGCTAATTACGTTGTCTTTAACATGTTTACATTTTCATCCATATACAGAAAGAGCTCTTTTTCCTTTCCCCCCACCTGCAAATTTTTATATTTAAACTTACTGTTCGCTTCTTCCGATTGTCATGAAAATTGACATGAAGACTAATTAGGCCATGACAAACATATTTGGTCTTGATAATTAACCTTGTAAAACCACTCGTTAGAGCATACATTTCATGTTTGAGTGAGGTGGGGGGGGGGGGGGGAAGGAAAAAGAGCCATAGAAAGAGTTCAATTTCCTAATATGGAAGAAATTTGTTGCATCCGGTTGCAATACATGGCGCCCAACGTGGGGCTCGAAACCACGACCCGGGGATTAAGAGTCCCATGCTCTACCGACTGAGCTAGCCGGGTTTGTAAAATTTAAGTCTTTAATTGTTTTACCGCCATTTTCGTCCATATAAAGAAAGAGATTTCAATTTCCTAATATGGAAGAAATTAGTTAAAATTGACGCTTATTTGAGGCGGGGTAAGGAAAAAGCCCTTGGAATATTCGATTGGGGGAAAGGAAAAAAAGTTTTTCGAAGTCTCGATTCCTGAATTTTTATACCGTTATTTTTGTCAAGAAATATTTCAAAATATCCTAATATGGAAGAAAAATGGGCTCTTTTTCCTTTTCCTCCCCATCTGCAAATTTTATATTTGAAGTTACTGTTCACTTTGTCCGATTGTTATGAAAATTGACATGCAGACTAATTAGGCCATGATAAACAATATTGGTCTTCATAATTAACCTTGTAAAACCACACGTTAGACCATAAAATTCATGTTTGCGTGAGGTGAGGGGGGGGGGGAAGGAAAAAGAGCCGAAAAATGTTGCATTGGGTTGCAATTTAAGGGGCCCAATGTGGGGTTCGAACTCGCGACCCTGGGATAATGAGTACCCTTCTATATCGTCAGAGCTAGCCGGGCTAATTACGTTGTCTTTAACATGTTTACATTTTCATCCATATACAGAAAGAGCTCTTTTTCCTTTCCCCCCACCTGCAAATTTTTATATTTAAAGTTACTGTTCGCTTCTTCCGATTGTCATGAAAATTGACATGAAGACTAATTAGGCCATGACAAACATATTTGGTCTTCATAATTAACCTTGTAAAACCACTCGTTAGAGCATACATTTCATGTTTGAGTGAGGTGGGGGGGGGTAGGAAAAAGAGCCATAGAAAGAGTTCAATTTCCTAATATGGAAGAAATTTGTTGCATCCGGTTGCAATACATGGCGCCCAACGTGGGGCTCGAAACCACGACCCTGGGATTAAGAGTCCCATGCTCTACCGACTGAGCTAGCCGGGTTTGTAAAATTTAAGTCTTTAATTGTTTTACCGCCATTTTCGTCCATATAAAGAAAGAGATTTCAATTTCCTAATATGGAAGAAATTAGTTAAAATTGACGCTTATTTGAGGCGGGGTAAGGAAAAAGCCCTTGGAATATTCGATTGGGGGAAAGGAAAAAAAGTTTTTCGAAGTCTCGATTCCTGAATTTTTATACCGTTATTTTTGTCAAGAAATATTTCAAAATATCCTAATATGGAAGAAAAATGGGCTCTTTTTCCTTTTCCTCCCCATCTGCAACTTTTTATATTTGAAGTTACTGTTCACTTTGTCCGATTGTTATGAAAATTGACATGCAGACTAATTAGGCCATGATAAACAATATTGGTCTTCATAATTAACCTTGTAAAACCACACGTTAGACGATAAAATTCATGTTTGCGTGAGGTGAGGGGGGGGGAAGGAAAAAGAGCCGAAAAATGTTGCATTGGGTTGCAATTTAAGGGGCCCAATGTGGGGTTCGAACTCGCGACCCTGGGATAATGAGTACCCTTCTATATCGTCAGAGCTAGCCGGGCTAATTACGTTGTCTTTAACATGTTTACATTTTCATCCATATACAGAAAGAGCTCTTTTTCCTTTCCCCCCACCTGCAAATTTTTATATTTAAAGTTACTGTTCGCTTCTTCCGATTGTCATGAAAATTGACATGAAGACTAATTAGGCCATGACAAACATATTTGGTCTTCATAATTAACCTTGTAAAACCACTCGTTAGAGCATACATTTCATGTTTGAGTGAGGTGGGGGGGGGGGGGGAGGAAAAAGAGCCATAGAAAGAGTTCAATTTCCTAATATGGAAGAAATTTGTTGCATCCGGTTGCAATACATGGCGCCCAACGTGGGGCTCGAACCCACGACCCTGGGATTAAGAGTCCCATGCTCTACCGACTGAGCTAGCCGGGTTTGTAAAATTTAAGTCTTTAATTGTTTTACCGCCATTTTCGTCCATATAAAGAAAGAGATTTCAATTTCCTAATATGGAAGAAATTAGTTAAAATTGACGCTTATTTGAGGCGGGGTAAGGAAAAAGCCCTTGGAATATTCGATTGGGGGAAAGGAAAAAAAGTTTTTCGAAGTCTCGATTCCTGAATTTTTATACCGTTATTTTTGTCAAGAAATATTTCAAAATATCCTAATATGGAAGAAAAATGGGCTCTTTTTCCTTTTCCTCCCCATCTGCAACTTTTTATATTTGAAGTTACTGTTCACTTTGTCCGATTGTTATGAAAATTGACATGCAGACTAATTAGGCCATGATAAACAATATTGGTCTTCATAATTAACCTTGTAAAACCACACGTTAGACCATAAAATTCATGTTTGCGTGAGGTGAGGGGGGGGGGGAAGGAAAAAGAGCCGAAAAATGTTGCATTGGGTTGCAATTTAAGGGGCCCAATGTGGGGTTCGAACTCGCGACCCTGGGATAATGAGTACCCTTCTATATCGTCAGAGCTAGCCGGGCTAATTACGTTGTCTTTAACATGTTTACATTTTCATCCATATACAGAAAGAGCTCTTTTTCCTTTCCCCCCACCTGCAAATTTTTATATTTAAACTTACTGTTCGCTTCTTCCGATTGTCATGAAAATTGACATGAAGACTAATTAGGCCATGACAAACATATTTGGTCTTGATAATTAACCTTGTAAAACCACTCGTTAGAGCATACATTTCATGTTTGAGTGAGGTGGGGGGGGGGGGGGAAGGAAAAAGAGCCATAGAAAGAGTTCAATTTCCTAATATGGAAGAAATTTGTTGCATCCGGTTGCAATACATGGCGCCCAACGTGGGGCTCGAACCCACGACCCTGGGATTAAGAGTCCCATGCTCTACCGACTGAGCTAGCCGGGTTTGTAAAATTTAAGTCTTTAATTGTTTTACCGCCATTTTCGTCCATATAAAGAAAGAGATTTCAATTTCCTAATATGGAAGAAATTAGTTACTTTCGACTGCAATTTGGGACTCGAGCCAACGACCTATGAATTAAGAGTCCCGTTGTGGCCGAGAATAGCCATTTGTGTTTATGCCCTACCGTTGAATGGATGCTCACCTCTACCGTTTGAGGTGTTCAATAATTTAGATGATCAAGCGAAATAATTCGGCTCTTTTTCCTTCCCCCCCCCACCTCACACGAGCTTCAATATATTAGTGTAACGAGTGGTTTTAAGAGGTTGAGTAAGAAGACCAAATATGTTTGTCGTGGCCTTATTAGTCTATATGTAAATTTTCATAACAATCAGACAATGTGGTCAACAAATTTACATGTAAAATTTTGCAGGTGGGGGGAAAAAAGGAAAAAGAGCCAATAATTCTTATATGGCTTTTGATAGTATTATAAACTAGTATCTTCTAAAGAGCTAACATTTTCACTATTTTACAAGTAAGGCATGATAATTCAACAAACATAGACACAGTAACGCCCCAGTGCGAACTAATTTTCTATGTCTTGTTCTTGCTTCGTAAGTTTCAGCCAAAAACTGTTGTGGCAACTAAATTTTTGAAAACAAGGCTGGAAAGTGTTAAGGAGACATGCTCTTTAAATTTCAGGACATGTTTGACGTGCCGTTGGTCATTCAACTAACGGACGATGAAAAGTCACTATGGAAAGGTCTGTCCAGAAAGGAGGCCATGAAACTTGCACGCGAGAACACCAAAGACATAATCGCTTGCGGTTTTGACGTGGATAAAACCTTCATTTTTAGCGACTACCAATACATGGGCCAACGACCCGAGTTTTACGGAAACATAATTGACATTCAAAGATGTGTAACTTTCAACCAGGTCAAGGGAATCTTTGGTTTCGGTGACAGTGATTGTATTGGAAAAATAGCGTTTCCGGCCGTGCAGGCGGCCCCGGCTGTCGCCAGTTCGTTTCCGGATACATTCGGGGAGAATAAATCGGTGCCTTGTCTGATTCCGTGTGCAATTGACCAGGATCCCTACTTCAGAATGACGAGAGACGTCGCACCCAGAGTGGGTTTCCCCAAACCGGCTCTGCTGCACTCGACATTTTTTCCAGCTCTGCAGGGTTAGTTGAATCACTAGCGACAGCTTTGAGATTTTCAAAAATCAATGCACATAGTAGTACATTTTTTCAGTACATTTTTTCAAGTGTTTACCAACGAAAAGAGTTTTCACTTAAGTAATTCGTGTCTTTTTGATATGGTTTCCGTTCATTCTATTCAAGTGTAAATGAACAAGTATCACTAATTAAGTGGTTTGTTTTTTACGCTTGCGATTAGCAAGCGTTATGAAATCGAAATGTTGACTTTTTTAGGTTAACAACTAGTTTAACAAAACCAGTTGAATCACCTAAGGTTGAATCACAGCCGACATGCTCAATTGCCTGAAAAATCAAATTTAACTTGTGGGTGGGTACTAGTTACTACTGGGTAGTTTCACGAGGGACTGAACTTTTCAAAAGTTTTTATTACAAAATGAGTTTTTTTTCGGCTCAACTGGTGTCTCTACTCAAAGATTGTCGGCCTTGTTTCCGCTTCGCAAGTTTTGGTTCAACTGATAATTTGAATTTCAAATGTCTTGCTTGGCATGCCAGCCTAGAATTACTGTTTGATAAAAACAGGTATTATGAAAGTGTATGGGATTGGGTTCTTTTTTATTTTTTGAGACGCTTTGAGACCCTGATTTTCAAAAAAAGGTTATTGATAGAAAGATTGCCTACAGTCTTGTGTGCCTGCATTTTTCCCTGGTTTCTTTTTGTATACAGCATTCGAAAAAGTCTTTGGGGGATTATTTGACCGATATTTTTGATTTTTTTTAAAAAAAAACTAACCTACTAAATCTGAGATTTTGATTTCAAGGAATAGAACAGAATTGAAAAGCTCTCCTCCATAGGTGACTAAGCTCAAATTGTTTTTACACATGAAATTATGGCTCTCGTAATAGTTAAATTTTTTGACCGTATGTTGAATCTTTTTTAACTTTTCTCGAAAACCAACCTAAAGTTGCGGGTTCAATGGAGATAACGCCTAAAGGGAAGCTTCTGCATTAGCGGCCACTTAAAATATTTTTATACAGAAAAGTTATCGTCCTCGGAAAAGTCATTTTTTATTTTTTGAGTGTTGTTTTTCTTAATATTATGAATTTTACCAATAAATACCCTCTTTTATCTGAAGTTTTGGTTCAATCCAAAGTACGGGTTGTGAGAATCTCCTTTGCATTCGCGATTACGCCCTAACTGTTTGGACACAGAAACTTATGGCCCTCGGAAAAGTCGGACAGTCTTGACTTTTTTTCGAGAACTAACCCGCCAAATCTGATATTATAGGTTTAATCGACACAACAGGTTATTGAAAGGTTACCTTTTAATTTTCTATGCCCAGTTTCTTTTAGAAAAAAGTAATGGCCTTCAGACAATAAAATTTTTGAAATTTTGGCCGTGTTTTGAAAGTTTTTTTACTCTGCTTGAAAATTACCGTGCCAATTCTCGGGTTAAGTTCAATCGAGAAACCCGATTCTTTGAATATTCTCTACTTTATCGGCCACGACCTGCTTTTTCAGAAAAAGTTATGGAATTAGGAAAGTTTTGACCGTTTTTCAGAAACTGTTCGAGTTTTTTTTTTCTTCAAAACTACCCTATCAAAATTTAGATGAAAATTTGAACCGAAAGAAGCATGAAAAATACCGAGAGTAGCTCTTATCAAAAAAAGAGTAGCCTTTTTCCATTAGAGAAAAGGTTTCGACATTAGGAAAATTCTATTTTCTCTGAAATTTTCATTCGTCTCACTTATTTTAGTAGAGAAACAACTAAGGTTTTGGGCAAAGTCCAATTTTTGAAATTTTGCATTTTGTCCCACATCAGTATAACAAATTCAAAAAATATCAAGCACGTATCTCCTGCTTTAGCTGCACGCTAGGTGTGCTTCATCGAGACATAGTTGAAGTTTACCTAGTTCTTTTCAACATTTATCAGTTTTTTCGATTTATGCTTTTTATGATTGTGTTGCATCGCAAGCGGTGCGAAGCTCAGCTTGGTTTGTGGTTTTGAGATTGTTCCTGCTCAAATTTGATTTGTTGCGGTTTGACTTGGCTTCTTGTTAATTGAATTCAAAGTATTTGCCAAATGGACGGCCGATTAAGCTCTCTAATTACAATTGTCGCAAAAAACATGTGAGTGACTTTATTCTCAAAAATGGACTTTTTTTTCAGATTCCCCAGTGTAATATGAAGTTTATATTCATCCAGTTTAACCATTCCAGATTCCTGAAGTTCGAAGAGCTGTAAAGCTTAGGAAAATGAAAGTTGTTCGAAAAAGTTGGTCGTTTTATTCGCTTTACTACTTGCTGGTCGATGGCAAAGGGCACCACTGATCTAGGTTGCGTCAAGTCTCAGGCTAGTAGCTTATTTTGAGTAGTTTTTTTATTCAATTTGAAACAGTTTCTTACTTTTCCAAGAGTTTTGTTTCCAATTGTCTGTTGGCTCTATTTTGTGCAGCGCAGTATGCGACGTGAGAAATAACTGTGTCTTGTTTACGCTTGCGATTAGCATGCGTTTTCACATCGGAATAAGACTTTTTTCGGGTTATCGGCATGTTTAACAGAATCACTCGGTAACTTGGTTCATAGGGAATTCAAATTTCTAAGCGCCTCCGGTAGCTTAAGTCTGGAGGTAGCCAATACGCTTTGGACGGCAAAGGTCCTAGGTTCGAATATAACCGGGATCTGTTTTTTTGCAAACGGGAGTTATTCTGTTTCAAAAAATTGTCGGCTTATTATTTGTCTGCTTATATTTTGTCGACTTAGCTGCCACATCTTAGAATTATTTACCGTATGCAGTTTTCATTGTAGTTATTTTCTATGTTTTTTATTACGATAGCGATTAGTTGTTAATCCGAAAAAATGTCTACATTACGTTTACCAAAATCAGTTGGAACAATTCCTGACATACCCGTGTCTCAGGCTCATGCTTGCTGACATGCTGAACTCATGGGTGCAATTTTTGTTACTGGGACATTTCTCTTCAGAATTAATTTGATTTTTCTGTCGGCTTCATGGATTTTGTCCCAACTTTTGTCGGCTTACTTGCCGGATGTATTAAATTTTGTTATAATTTTTTTTCATCTTGCTGGCTTTATAATAAATTCAAATTTAATGTGCGTATTTAAGGTTCAATCAAAACAACTGGTTTAGGGAAGGGCCCCTGCATAATCAACTAAGCCCATTTTTTCTCAAAAGTTAGGGCCATCGGCAAGAACAAATAATTGATTTTTGTGACTATTTTTCCTTATTCTTTTTGACCTTTCTCGAAAACTACCCGCCCAAATCTGAAATTTTTACTTCAATCTAAACAACGGTTTGCGGGAAAGTTTCCTGTATATTTGGCCACGACCAAATTTTACTACACAAATAGTTATGGCCCACGGAAAATTCAAAAGTTTTGATTCTTTGACCTTTTTCTGATTTTTTTTTGTTTTTCAAAAACTACATTTCCAAATCTCAGTTATTAGATTCAATCGAAACGACCTAACGCGGAAAGAGCCCCTTTAACTAAGCTCAAGTTTATTTAATACAAAAGTTAGGGTCCTCGGAAAAGACAATAATTTTTTTTACCGTTTCTTGAAACTAATTGACCGTTTTTTGGAGACTTCACTGCCAATTCTTAGGTTTCTTTGGTCAAGGAGAAACCCGATGTCAGAAATTTGCTCTGATGACGTGGCTATGACCTTCTTTTTGCCGAAGATATGTTTTTCCGAAAGTCAAGTTTTTGAAACTTAGAAACTTTTTGACTTTTCTTAAAACTTTTCATAAACTAACCTGGGGTTCAATCGAATGAACCAGAATTTTTGCTGTAGAAGCGGCGTCTCCTTAACTTTTGTAAGAGAGTTTTTTTTGGGATGATTTCTGTTTCTCATGATTTCTGTTTCTTTTTTGTTTTAGCAGAGAAACATCTATGGTTTTGGGCAAATTTTTGAAATTGCCTATTTTATCACACATCAGAAGAACAAAATTATCAAAAAAAACTACCTTCAGCTTTAGCTAGGCCCCTATTTATCTTTTATCGAGAAATACGAAAATTTAAGTGCATGTTTTTTTCTAACATTTTTCCTTTTTTCTTTTTCTTATTTTACACTGTTTACTCAGCAATTTGTCTAATTCTTTCTACTAACCTTGACTAATATTATCCTTTGTTTCGCATAAAAGTTTTTTTCCGCCTAAATGATATCGGCTTACCAACCGTTCAAGGGAACCTTAATTTGTATGATTTCCTCCGAATCGCACAAAACCTTTAAAATCTCAGAATAGAATTTATAGTTCAAGTTTTTCTGGGCAACAATTTTGTTTTCGGTTGATAATTGTTTTTGAATTTTCCTTAAATAACTCTGAATAGGTTTCTGGATGTGTTTTCCGCAAATAGAACGTCATTTCAGACAAATAGAAGTCATTTCAGACGTAAAGCATTATACTGAAGACTAGGTGTCAAAATATATTATCTTAAGGGTAGTCATACAAGCTAGAGAAATCAATTAATTAAACCTTCAAGAATTGCTAAATTTAGTGACGTTTTTGAAAATCCACCCAATCGCTCGAAATAATCCTAGATCCGCCCTTAACAAACATTTTAAACGTGATTGGGATACCCAGTAAGGCGGTTTAAACTAAGCGCCATAATATAGTTTTTTTAGAGGAAGAACTTTTTTGTGAGGCGAAAACTTTTTTTGACCGACGATGGTTAACATTAGGTCTAGGGGCAAATACGGTCGGCACGGGCTACTTCCTTGTGACGAATTGTGTCCTGTTAAGAATATGAAAACTGGTATAAAACCAATACGTTAATTCATAAACCCCACCTGAAACATTTATCTAACTGAGGTTACGTACAACAATAATAACGTTAACACTCGTCTTTTCTCAGTGGAAAAGGAGAATGTGGCGATGACTATAAACAGAACAAATTAGTGTTCGCTGAATAGGTTACCAGTTGCGATCAATTGACAAGCGCTGCGGCTACATAAATAAACGCTGCGTTTCCGCGTAGCAATAGGGATAGCAGCTATGAATGAATACTTAT